TTCCCTACAAGCAATGGAAAGGCAGATGGTTAAAGGAATGTATATAGTGGCAATGACTTACAGCTGTAGAGCAGTTTTTACCTATCATTCTTCAGTGGGAACAAAGAAAATAAGGATCACAGGCAAAAAGCTAGATTCCTAAAGGTTGAATGCAATGCTCCTCAGAACCATAAAAGCTCCTGTAGATGTTCTGCAGTTTGAACAGGACAAATTTTGAACAGGAGAGCAAATAGCTCCTGGGGTGGGAAGTCTGTTCAAGAAAACCCTTGACACAGAAAAGAGTGGAATATTAAACTGCTCTTGTGATTTCATTAAAGAAATTAAAGTGGTTATAAATGTACTGCGTAATTTGGATGACATCTTAAACTGATTTGTGGCACTGGGAGGTTTTATTAAAAATATTACAGACAAATGGCCTTCGGTCTTTCTTATTTGTTCACCTTCCTGTGAACCATTGGTCTATGCTGTGTGTGCCTGGGAACCTTGGCAGAAACCAGCTAAGTTAGAGAAACCCGAATTGCAGCTTTCCAGAATCCGTGAAAGAAAGACAGACACAGAAAGGTGCTTGTGTTACCAGTCATTTCTTTCAATAAATAATGTTAATAACATCGGTCTTGTCAGCAAAGCACTAGTGAACCTTCAATGATTGCTACCCAGGGCTGGAGCCATCAAGTTCAGCTTAAATGTTTCTGTCAACATCTAAACCCAAAATGTGAATTCCTTAAACATCTCTGTAACTCTTGTCCCTTGCTGGGTCATCTGAACTCATAAGAACTAAAATAATCTTTTTCTTCCTTTAAGTATACCCAGAACTACTTGTTTATAGAACGGAGATGCTTGTTATTCAGCCTCCGCCTTGGTAATGAAAATGCTTACACTGTCAAACAGGCTGTGGAGTTAACAGTCGTAGCGTGCTCCATTTTTCTTAATTTGGATGTAATGGTTTAGTGCAGTGACCAGCAGTGTAGGAGATGTAGGTCTTAATTTCAACCCCTGTCTCGCACATAAATTAAGTAGGAAGAGATGTTGCCTGGGGGAACCTGTCATTTACTTCCTTTTGAAATTATTCTGTGAAAAGTGGGATTTCCTTGGCTCAGAGAAAAGAGAGAAAAAACTCTTACTTTAATGGCTAGGTCATACACTAGAAGTGGTATCTGGCCTCCAGCACCCCTGCACAGCTGGCAGTCAGAAATTCACATTTCCAGTTTGTGACTGGACCGAGTTTAAAGGCTATGGGTTGGTTTGGGTGGGGTTTGGTTTGGGGTTTTTTGCTTGGTTGGTTGGTTGGTTTGTTACCTGTCTGGGTATTGTGTGGACTGGGAGGTGTGCAGCCCCCACACATGGGAACGAGGTGGTGGTTATATTGAACTGTCTAAATATTAGTAAGACTTTTGCAGTTTAAGCTAGTAGTTAAAAACTACCTAAATTATCCTTCCTTGGGAAGGAAGACTGAATTGCCACAAAACATCAGAGGGGAAGAAGATACTTTGGTAGGCATGAATGAAGCATTTGCGTAGAGGGATCAGCCTTGGCTGACAGAGAAGAGCTGCATGACCACAATGCAGACATCTTCATTGCACAGTTTAATTTACTCCAACTTGGGATTCATAGGCTCAGCATGCCTTTACTACTACTTTACTCAACTGTACAGGACATTCTCTTCAGTTTGGTGGAAAAAAATCATGTCCACACATTCCTGAATTTTGGTTTCTTCTCTCCAAGATTATTACAGTCCTGCAATGTTGGGCCTGAAAACTGATCAGGAAGTCCTTGGAGAACTTGTGAAAATGAAAGTTCCAGCTGTGGCAGAGCTGATGGAAAGACATGGAGTCATGTGGACCCTAGTGGTGTCACGCTGGTTTATATGCTTGTTCATTGACATTCTTCCAGTAGAGGTAATCGGTAACATAAAGCTCTCTTAATATACACTCATAACCATGATTTCATCTGTAGTGCTTTAGTAGTGATTACCTACTGGAAATGAAGAAGCTGTAATCTGAATTCTTTCCTTTCCTGCAGACTGTGCTCCGAATATGGGATTGTTTATTCTATGAAGGGTCAAAGATCATCTTCCGTGTGGCCTTAACGTTAATTAAGCAACACCAAGCTTTTATTTTGGAAGCCACAAATTTCCCTGACATTTGTGATAAATTTAAGCAGATCACCAAAGGAACATTGGTAACAGAGTGTCACAGCTTCATGCAGGTAAAGCCTCTGCAGCTTTTCGTTGTTACAAATTAAAAACAAGACTGACTTAGAAATGGTTTGCTTAGGCAAAAAGATGGATACAGTTAGGAGAAATCTATCTGTAGGAATTGCCAAAAGGATGAAGAATGTTTTTATATAACAAATGCAAACCTTTTGAAGAATTTTGTTAAAGAATTATCATCTAAATCCATATATAGTAAGCCATTCACATTATGTGTCATACAGGGGAAAAAATTCTTTTTGCCCTTTTTACCAGTTAAGGCAGGAAGTCTGATGAGAAAATAACTTTAGTGCATTCTTTCAGTGAACTATGTATTGTGTTCCTGTGCTTTTTTCAGATGAATTGTAATAGAATATTGTAGAAGAGTCACAAAGTGAATTTTAAGCTTGCATTGGTAAATCTTCATAGTGCTGAATATAAAGCGTTGTTTAGTCAAAGAACAAAAAGGCAGCACTAATTTTTTTTTTCCAGACAAAATCCATGAAGTTGAGTGCTCAAGTCCTATGTCAATGTGCAAACTAAGAATTGTTCTTGTAAACTATCAATAGATTGAATGCCAAATCTGTATAAAACGCTAGATTTGGAGCTTAACTCAGAAGATTGAAATGTAAAAGACATTAATTGGGCGGGGGGAAAAAAAAAAAACCAACCCCCAAAAAAACAACAGGAGCACATCTGTCATAAATCACTTGGCCAACTCTGCTATCATTGTTTGCTAAGAGTGCACAAAACTACATCCCAATAGGTGACTTTCACTCCCAAGAGTTTTGTGCTCATGTCAGAGCTCTGCACATAGGTCTGTCAGAGTAGGATGTAATTTCTATTATGTTTCATCTTTGCTTATGTAGAAGAAAAACAAGTTTAACTTACTAGTGTTTGTGAGCCTTTTAATTAAAAGAGCAAGGGAAAAATAAATTGTAGGTGCAGCGTAATTTATAAGGGAGATGTTCGAGGGATTTTCCCATTCCATAAAGGGTTTACAGTAAGAGCTTTCTTAAATGTTAGCTGCCATGGGACTACCAGTTCAGAGGCTGATATAAATGCTTGTCCATGAAGGACTTCCCCGCCCCCCCCTCCCCCCCCCTTTAATTACATTACATTTTACAGCAGCTGTTTTTAGAAAAGCAACTACCTTTTTCTTGCAGTTACTCCAAATATTTATTTTAACTGTGCTGGTTACTGTAGTGAGGGGGCTTTCAAGGCAATTAAATAAACAATTTAGGTTAGGTTCTTATGTAACTTTGAAACACAAACTTTTGGGTTTGGTGTGGTTTTTATTTTCCCCACAGCAGTACAGATAGTGGTACCAGTGGAGGCGATGACAGTTGAATATTTTATGCCCTGCTCCCCCTGAACAAAACATAGTTTTTAGTTTAATGCAATGCAGACTTCTTTACCAGAATGCTGTTCAGAACTGGCTGAATTATAATCTCATCTCCAGAGCTGTCAGTTACAACTACAGACAAACAAGGGGCCCACACAACTGTAGACTTAAGTGCATAAACTTGCAGCTTGCTTAGCAAAGCCTTTGACACAGTCTCCCATAATATTCTCCT